AACTCCTCGCAGCGACATATTCAGACGCAGAGACACGTTCACTGGAATAATAACCTCATTAGCTTGACGTTTTGGACACGCACCATTTGCAGCTACTTGTGATTTTGGCAAGCAGGTATGCAGACAGACAACAACTGCACATTGCAACACCTGACTAGACAGAAAATCACTGCGTCAAATATGAATACATGCGATGAATTTGGAAGCTGCTTAGTTTGTATAGACATGCAGTGAGACATCGACTTCATATTGCAACTAGTGCACGGTTGACCCGATCATCGCCTTGCCATTTACACTATAAGGACTCGCCTTCAAGCATGCAGTTGGATGCTGTACAAATGATGTGAAGTTTCATATGGTGAACATGAAAACTTAGTTAACGGACACGAATGTACAGTTAGCGTCCCTCGAGTAAGTCGGCCAACGATCTGCCTTACAATTTGGTAGGAAAAGAGACGACTTCGTGGCGGAGTAGGTACTTGCTTTCAATGGCAAGTGCAAGCAACACTGGCGAATGTCGTTCATGAGTTGGAGAGGAATACGATCGTCGCCAGTGTCAGATCTTCATCCCTGAACTGCACATTGTGCACCGTGGAAGGCTATGATGACTTTATTCGTTGACTATTTAGCAAGGAAGCGTTCGTAGACGAGCAGTACGTGCATACTAATTCTACCTTTTTTCAGACCAAACATCTGGTCGTAGTAGGTGGTTTATCTGAGGCAGACATCATCTGAAATACACCGACCGTCATACTAAGTCCGCCGCCTTGTCATACTTTCTGCTGATCTGGGGGGTCGAAAGGCTTGCGGTCATTCATTGTCTGTCCATTGTTCCCGATACTCAAAGGTAGGTCTAATTTATATTTAGTGACCCACACAGATTCAATTGGAGACAATACCCTGTATAGTAACAGCAGTATCGTTGCAGTACGACAAATGGCTATCCTTTGGTTCCGTGGACCGAAGAACCGGTATGGAGGAGAGTCAAAGCGCCAGCGCGACGCGCATCGGATACACAATCTGTCCTTGAATTGTCCTTTACATGCAATCAGGTTCCAAGTATCCTCACCGATGACTCTGCATGCGTTAAAATATCTCCGCTAAAGGAAGCGGTAAGTGAACTTATAATATTACTGCTTTTATTAACTTTGTGTGTTTATATCTAACTGGAATAGGTAATAACTACTACGTATCATAAACTGTCTCTTTTTTTTCGCAGTACTTTTGTCTTACAAGATTTTCTTCCACTGCGGGGACTGTAGGTAGATAATAGAAGTGATCCCTCTCCTTTTATTCTCGATTTATTCTTCGAATTATTTCAGAACCAGCGGTATTACAAACTTGGTCGTCGGGAAGGTGGCGAACTTCTACCGATTGCCTAGCCATATATCCTCAGTTTATCTTTCAGAGGGATTCTTCCCTGACAACAAAAGTCATCTATTATTTTCTCCAGCCATCAATTGAGGATCCCGTTCGGATATAGCAAATTATCGAGGGTTTCATAAAACTCCGACTCTAACAAAAATAATGAAACCGAATATTTTTAAATGAAATTCTTCATTTCCTACTAACTAATAAACTTTGACGTTTATTCAGCACTACTTTTATATCAGAAGAATCGTGCGACATTTCTCATTTAGCTCTCGTTGACCTTGTTATTCCGTTCCGAGCAGTAATCAGTGATTGTGATCTACTGTACCATTATTCAAGCCTTTGACAGGGGGGCCGAACCGACGTCCTTTATTATCAAAGGGACCTCACAATATCAAACATCTCTTCATCGACTTCATTGGTTCGTGCTTAGTTAACCATAGTCAAATAATCAAAGTAGTTAATAGCTACTAGGCACGTTATCTGAGCACTAGTAGCGTGTTTCTGGGCACGGTCATATATCCTCCACCCTTCATTATTTGCATAAGCGAAATTTCAGCACGACCCCAAAATTCGCAAACCACCATTTAGGTTGATGACCTTAAGTACATTTTCGGCAGTCCGCGTCCAACGCTTCTGCGTTGAGTCATTTTGTCTTCGGTATTCAAGCCTTTGTGTACTCATGTGTGACAAACTCCCCGCACGTTGTTTGTCAATTACTGCAAGAGCACTATGTTGTCCTGTCTGTTCTACGATCCTCGTCGACTCACTGCTTAAGGTTCGCATTATCTCGGTTCAGTCGATGCGCGCCATTTCATTGGAATGAAGGCAGGCGACAAAGGAGACACCTTGCAGTCAAGGCTTCCCAACAGCGGACACACACTCACACAACTGGCGTTAAGATACAACTGCGAACCAGCGCATGATATAGCCATTTTTAAAGCTATTTTTCACAGTAAAAGCCATTCCAACCTACTCTGCCATCCCTGAATTCTGATTTGGAAAACTTCCGTGTTGTTGACGTAACGACCTCGAAATATTTATTCATTTCACTAGGACATGGTTACCATTTGAGTTGATAAGTCGACACTGATCTGTTAACGCTGCTGAACTGGTGTGAGGCTAGACACTTGGAACTCTCTACATTCAAGTGTAATCCCATGACTTTTTCGGCCCAGCCAAGCTTCCTAGACCTCATGCAGATTGGAAATCTGTAATGGCTGGATAATTATATAATTTTGTACCGCATATGTTTCCCTTGTGGAAATAAAGTTAATAATTTCATAGGTTGTAAAGGAAAAAAAGAGGCGATCGCTACGACAGCCTTTGTACTAGCCTGAGCTTTCGGCTTTGTTCAGGGAGCCATCGTCAGAGAAAAAGAGAGAACAGCAAGAATTGACATGTTTTGTGGTCCAGCTACGAGGAAATGTCGGAGTGGAGGGAGGGGTAGTATTCGTGATTGGTTGAGTTTACAATCATGTCGTCTCCCGTATCGTCCCGGTGTGTGTCGTAGGCGTTTTGGCGTGCAGCCTTGGCCCCTTGACGTGCGTCC